TTTGTCACACCACGTGACATTGACAGAGTTAGAACCTGCATGATGAGAAAGAAGCACTTTAACTGTGGAGACAGTCAAAGTGTACATACCTTACTTAATGGAAAACATCAAGAACATGTTCTCTTCTATCAACCATACACATCTGACCAAGAACTAATGATTGTTTTGCAGACACCTGTAATTAGGGATGCACCGATACCGGTATCGGTATCGGTGCATCCCTACCTGTAATGAAATCAAACATGGAGAACTATGCAAAACAGTTAGTATTTGTTGACACCACCCACTGTGTTAACCAGTATTCATTTCCCTTATTCACACTTGTTGTAAGAGATGATCATGGGCATGGAGTCTCTGTGGCCTATGCTATTGTCAGCAACGAAAGTCAGAAAACCCTGGAAACTGTTCTTGGAATAGTTTGTGAGCATTTCCCAACTTCCCCGAGGTAAATAATACATTGACAGCTATTAATTTTGAAATAATTCCTTTTCAAAAAAGTTATAACATGCCAGAATCTAATGCTATAGCTGCAGCATGGGCTGCAAAAAACTTTCCTTTCCAGTTGTTAAAGTTATTCCTATAGGCTGTATGCAGTATTTTATATATCTACTTTCAACTACATTTCTAGTTGAAATGTTTAATTTGGCATTGAAGTGGTGCTTTGAGATAGCAAAAACATGTTCATACTGTTTAATCTAATTTAGTGTTTTCTTTTTTTCTGTAGAGCATTTATGGTTGACAAAGACTTTGCGGAAATAAATGCTTTGCAGAAGGTTTTTCCAGAGTCAGCTATCCTTCTATGCTGGTACCATGTCTTGCAGGTAAACCACATTGTTTTCTTTTCACGTTGTCTAAGATGCACCTGAAACACATTTTTACAACAGGGTCCTGTTGTTATGATTTGCCTCATTGTGATATTCACCTACTCAGGTTAATGAATATAAAGGGATAAAATGTTGAGTGACTATGTCCATCCATTTAAGACCACAGTGCACTCATCTTCTGGTGGCTGCTTCCCAAATTTAAAAATATGTTTGCCTGGTTGATTTCTGTAATGCACAGGTCCTCTTGTCCAGTGAGTGACAAAGTTATTTTTGGACGTCAGCTTTCTTTTATGCTTTTTGTACAGCTGCTCCTCTGTCTCTCTCTCCAGATTAACTTTTTTTCTCTTACATTCACAGGCTGTTAATCGATGGCTTCGGGGTCCATGGGCTTTCTAACACCCAAAAGAGAAATGAAATCATTTCTTTCTTTTGTAAGCTGAAAGCTTGCACATCTGTAAGTGTAATTTGTCTATTTCACATTTTGAGTTCTTGATTACACTAAGAGCATAATAACTTTCAGATACAAAATAGATTTTTGAAATGATTTCTAAAACTGGCTTCTTATCTTGCTTATCAAAACAAGTACTTGAGCTGTGCAGACCATCATTGTGTCACCCACTGTGCAGTAGAACTTGTGAGTGGGATTCTTTCACAGACAGATGCTGAAACCAAATATGCTTATAGGTTTCGTGTTCCTTCTTAGCCATTGTAAGGAAAGAAATAATTGCTTCTTAATACAAAAACACGACATATTATTAATAACTTAAAATTCTTATTGTTATTCAATAAAAGGAAAAGGGCTTCAATACATAATATTAAAGATTTCAATAGGTCTGTTAAATGGATTGAAATATATTCTGTTGCATCCAGTTCTCTTAGGAGGAAGACTTTAAAGCCACATCAGCAGAGTTTTGCCAGACATTTAAGCAACAGTATTTTCAGAAGCACTGTGAAGGCATTGGCCACATGTGGCGTGACTACGGCCGTCGCTTCAGTCACGCTCGTTCTGAAACAAACGATGTGATTGAAAGGTATGATTTATTATTTTGACCTCAGTCAATGTTATTGCTGAAAAAAAAGATATTATGCATTAATCCAAGAGGCTAAACTAAGTAGGTTCTTCATGTCATTGCCAGAACAGCTTTTAGGCGAATCCTTTAAATTCTAGCAGTGTTTTTTATGTTATCACAACAAAAAACAGAGTAGGTGGATTTGCCTAAACCAGCTAAACCGGCACAGAGCATTCCTTTATAAAAGACGTGTGCAATAGGTATTCCAATTTTTTTTAAATAATACAGTCTTGATTTAAACTTTAAATTCCTTCAATTACTGTTACTGATCATTTCAAATAACTTTTTTTCAGATTTTTCCACCGCCTGAAATACCAGTTTTTATCTGGCTCCAAGAATAGGCGTCTGGATGATCTAATTGAAGTGCTCCTAGGGAAGGCCAACGACTACTTCTCAGTCATAAAAACCCTGCAAGATGTGGGCCGCATGAAAAACAGGTTTGCTGACACCTTGTCTCAAGTTTCAGACTCTGCTTCAAGACTGATAGAAAGTGGTTGATTACAGTCAAGAACAGCCATGGAGTTAATGCATATCAAGTCCCATCTGAGTCAAGAGAAGACATAGTGTATGATGTCTGCCCTGTTGAGTCCTACTGCAACTGTACATATGGCTTACGAGGACTTCTTTGCAAGCATCTAGTGTTACTTGCAAAATTAGCAGAGGTTGACAATGACATCTATCCAAACAGACATTTCTACCTTGGCAAGAATTGCAGTGAAAGAAAGGCATTACTTTGTACACTGTGAGGACTTGAAAGTGATAAAAACGCCAAGTTTGTTTGGAAATCTGTGGTTTTTTTGCATCGGCTGAAACACTTCAGTGCACTCGTTGTACGTTCTCTCACTATAACACATGTGCTTGCCTGAAGGTGGCTTGTAGCCATTTTAAACAAATGAAAAACTCTCTGAAAAGTCCTTTATCAATTTTGAATGACACTCCTGTAGTTGAAAGCACAGACAAAAAATGTACAGAAGATGCGGTTGGAAAACTAAATGCTGTTTTAGACACAGTTAAACAGTGGGCATTCATTCCAGAGGGCATTACTGCAATGATAGACGAACTGCATACAAATGTCTTAAAAACAAAACAAGAAGTAGGCAAAAGTATATGTCAGTACGAAATAAAGGCGACAGATAATGAACGCAAAATTAGGCCATTGCACTGTAGCAGGAAACGTTCGGCCAGCATCGACACTCCAACAGTCTGTGAAAATGAACGTGAACAGTCGATAACCACTGAAAGGGAGACATCCTCTGGAGAAAATGAAAACCTTTTGGAATACAAAACAAAAAAGAGAAGAGTTAAAGCGAAGTATATGCACAAGTAGACTTTTGTGTAGACATTTCAAAGGGACTGCATCCATTACTTCTGTTTGTTGAAACCTAAAGCTGAATAGCTGTCTTAACTTTCTGCCAAGGAACAGATGACAAGAAATTGTTTGCTCTCTCAAGCAGTTGTTATTTATGTGTGTTATTCATTACTTTGGCTTGGTTGCTGTTTTTGATACAAATTCATCTGTGCCCATTGTAATTTTTTCACGTTACTATTTTTATATTGCTATGTATTATAAATAAAGGATTACTTATTACTATTAAAGGTCTGCATTTGTAATTGTTGGTATTATTTATAAAATATGCGCTCTTAAGTTTTTTGCTCCATAAAACGATACCTGTCACTTTTTGGACATAGAGTATCAGCTGTTGGGGACCCCTGGCTCATACAAAATAGAAGTAAAAGGTTTCAACATCCAGCCTTTTTATGATTACATACAAAGTGTAATAACAGAGTTATCGGGGTGTGATTTTGTTAATAGTTAGTCTTAAGTATAAGTTTAATAGTGATGAGTAAGAAAATATAGCCAATGAGACTAATACCTGACCTCACACTGAGATTTGGTATGAAGTGGCCTGTTTGTGCTAATGCTGACATTGGGGCTCAGAGTTCCTCTGTGTGTATATATTTGTGAACGTTAACTTGGCTAATGTCCGAGGGTTTGACTGCTTTCCTGTTGGATTGTATCACACAGAACGGGGATAAGAGCACCAGTGGCCGTGCACACCCTCATCTCTCTCCTTCACCCGATCATTAGTGTTGGAAACCGGCATTAGCTCAGAGTAGATTAGACTTCAGTGTAGTGCAAGTGATTTGATTTTATGATTATTTGATTCAGTTTTTTCTGTGTTCAAGCTCAATTACTTTAATAAAATATGTTGAATTCAAAATTTATAAACTGTGGACATTACCCGTTTAAACCTTTCTGAAACAAGACAGGTAAAAACCAGTGTATAAAAGTTTACATAGGTATAAATAGCTCGAACACTTTACTCCAGCCTTTAACCTCCTAGGACCTGGCGTCCACATATGTGGACATCACATTTTGGGTTATTTAGACCAAAATACTAAATCTTGATCAACAAGTGCTTGATATACAGTTACGAGGACATTATACTGCAACTGTTCTATCGAAATTTCAAATGGATGTCCTCATATGTGGCTCTCATTTTTCTCAGAAACAAAAATTAGGTAAAAAAAAAAAAAAAATCTGGTAATTCTTTGTTTTTACATTCATCAGGTTCCAATCAGCCCAAATATCAAAGAGAAATTAAAAATGCCTGCCATGGAAGATTTCGGGTCTTAGGGGGTTAAAATGACCAGATCCCTGGGGCCTGTTTTCCAGGCCACTAAATTAAACCCAGTCAATTACCAAGTGCACAGAATAAAAACCTACGAGGTCCACTAATAGTCCAAAAGTCCAAATCTTTAATAGAAAAGACAGGCAGAACTCAAACAAACCATAATCCAAACGAGGAGCATATATACACACGGGAAAGTAAATAATTATAAGTTATTAAATCAGACTAATTAAATACAGTAAAACTAATAAGGGAAGACGAACACAAGGGAAATAAAAATGACAACAGTATAAACATACCAAAACTCAAAATAAAACAGGAAAGCTACTACAAACCGAGTGTGACGCAGTTACATTCATATTGAAACATATGTGATAATTTCCTTTCTTTGTAGCATTTTTAAGATGTGTGCTAGAACAGTCATTGTGCCGTTTGGATTAGGAACCAAACATTTTTGCCAAATAGTTAACTTAATACAAACTTAGAACAACAGTGAACAATTTTCAAGATTCTGATTTACAGAACAAACAAAAGTCACAAAAGGTTTCATTATTTAAGAGACAAGATCCAGTTTTTCACACAGGAAAGAAACGACAGAATCCAGTGCAGCAGGGCCAAAGGTGTGTGTCAGCAAACTGAAGGTTGAGGAATCAGTCAGTTCATGTTTAAGGTTGTGTTGGATTTTGAGAAGAGTCTGTCTGTTATTAGAAAGTAAGATTAACAATGTTACACCAATAACCCAAATACGGGGAAATGACAAATAATACCAAAAAAGATACAACTTTCATATTATTTTACTAACTTACTTTGTCATATCAGCACTTGATTGGTCGATGCCTTTACAGACCATGTCTCTTGTGACATCGCAGGCCAATCTTCCGGCAAACCCGAGGGCTAGCTCCCCAGCCTCCTCTTCACTCACAACACTAAACACTGTTACTTTAGTTTTGGCCTTTTTAGGCCTGTCAAGAATCATTGCGGGCAGTTTGGCTTTACGGCCCTAAAAAAGAAAAAGTGCAAACAACAAAAGAGCAGAGAGACACACACAAACAAAGTTAAATGATTTTGTTTACATGGTGTAATTGTGTATATGTTGCAGCAAATGCACAATTTCCAGCCACATTGTCACTTCATTGATACGAGTAACCGGATTTATTTCAGGTGACATCAAAATCACAAAATGTAAACCTACCCCAATCAAACCTCTGAAAACATGAACTGACATGTTCTCTGCGTGGATTCTGCGCTTGATCTCATCTTCTGTTATTGTGTAGGTTTTCTTTTTTGAGCTTGGTACAGATAAGCGACCATGCACACTGTAAACTGTACTAGTTCCTTCTGAATCAGTTTGAAATTCTGTATCTGCATCGATCCTGTCAACAGCAGCAGCAGCAGCATTATCTGTACTCAGACTTGTGCCGTATACTTCTGTTTCTTTTTCTTTGTCTTCAGTCTGTGTACCTTCATCTCTGACTGTCAGTCCTCCTATCTCACTGTTACTTGTCGGTTTGCTGCAGATGTCCTCTCCCTTAGGAACTTTTCCTTCGTCATTCGCTGCCTGATGCTTTCCCTGATGACATTCTTCGCTGGCTACTTCTATTGCTCCTCCTGTATAGCAACCTACTATGCTGCACAACTCCTTTCCCTCTGCTGTGCTGCACTGTGCTGTTACATAAAGAAGAATGATATAAACAGCACTATATCAATTTAATTGTGAAGGGAAATCCCCACAATACGACACAGTTATGTCTAAAATAGTTTTGTGTAAAAACTGGATCTTGAAACGTCCACTTTAATTACACAGTCCTGGTGTGCAAAGGCAAAATTACGAAAAAAAATTTCACTTTAAACATTTTTGGACATTGTTTAGTTATATTGTGACTTACTCTCACAGAAGATACAGATACCACAAACAGACTTTGAACAACGCATGTGCTTGTATGCACCACATTTCTGGCACTGCACCTGTGAATTAAGAAAGAAATAAAAGAAATAAACAAACAAAAAACAAATGAACAAAGTCCATTATATAAACAATCTATATGGCTAAGGACATGTCATAGCGTACCCGGTCTTTGGCTGCAATCACACACCAGCACTGACTGCACTTCCTAGTTCGATCTGCAAAATATAATTTGTTTAAGTACAAGTTACATTTTCCAATGTTAGAGAAGAAGAAGGCAGCTAATTTTATATTTACCTATTGAGGAAAATAAGTAGTGGCAAAGTCGGGACCTGAGCTTTGGGATTTCAGTGTTGTACTCCTCCACATGTGTTTTACCCTCAATGAGAGATTGGGCAAACTAATAATTGACGAAGAAGAAAAAAAAAGAAGAAAAAAAATTTGATTAGCAAAGAAATGTCCCCCCCCCTCCGAGAAAAGAAAACAGAGCAACCAAAGCAAAGCATTGCTGCTGAAATGGTTCAATCTACAAAAAAAATTGAGATTTTACCATCCTGCCTCTAAGGCTTTAAAAACTGAATAGGCAAAAATGTAAACATTACTTATATAGGTTAAAGCTACATGAGTTCCCATCCTGTTGATGTGGGTGGCTCACATGTGACAAAGTCCACTCTCCAGTGCAGCCTCTTGCTGAAGCAAATGAGCTGAGAGATCGCAGTTATTACAAATAAAAAGCATATAGAGAAATCAATAACCACGTTCGGTAATGATTTCAATTAAATTAAATATGTTATGTTAAATATGTTAATTAAGTACCTCCAGTTTTTCAACACCGCACTTTTTCTGACCTCCGACTCTCCAAATGAATTCATATAGACTATGGTCCTCTTGGGTATGTCACAAAACTGTTTTGTAAAAAGATGGATATGGTAGGTTTGCGCCTTGAGCTTTCCTAATGAGGGACACTGAAAAGTATCATGCACTAGAGAGAGTGCAAAATCTGTGCAACTTACAAACAAGGTCCAGTGGCTGCCGTTTTCCAGACAGGCTCCGATCAATTTCTCATACATCTGAAAGATGTTTTTCTGGAAATAAAAAGTATGTGACAAGTATGTTTTTCTGTCAAGAATGACACTGCATAATTGCGAAAGCTTGTCAGGTGAGACTTGTAATTAATTCTGCAGTTACACAAACATATAGAAAGTGTCATTTTTTGTTTACATTAATTAAGTTCTATTCGGTGTACGAAACAAATCAAGACCACAGACTCAACACGCACCACTAAGTTTTTGGTGTTCTTTATCAGATGGCCAAGACAGAAATGTTTTCATCTGTGTGCATTGCTTTTGAGCAAGTCTTTACACAGAAAAGGTTTCAGAAAGGTATTTTTTAGGTTCTTCTGACAAGGCTTCAATTTTGGAAAATGCTGTTTGTTTATAGTGGCAACTTATAAACCCTTGGTGATAAGAACATAGTTACCACAGTCCAAGTCATACCTTCAAAAAGTATGCACTTTGTGCTCTTGTGGACCCATCCAAAATTTTTCCAGTGATTTGGTTTGGTATTGGATAAATATGAGGGAAATTCTATAAAAATAACATAAATACACCTATGTTTTCAAATACATTACAAAAAACGTAAATATGCTATGTCATTATGATCAAACCAGCTTTTCAACATACCTCACACTGCAAATAGATTAGGCCATCTATTACCTTATAAAACAAATAAATAAATACATATAAATAAAAACAGAACTAAGGAATACGATTCATTAAGTAAATTGTACAATAAAGTGTATTTAAAGCAGAATTTAACATTAGTTAACCACTTGGGTACAAAGTTATGACAACATAAAAGGATTTTTATGTCAAGAGGTACCTCATCTGAAATGTTTGTCTGGTCAAACAGGGATTTCAAACTTGAAATACCAATAGAGTTTGGTCCAGCTACTCCCACAAGGTAATCTGTGAGAAAGCATATGCTGTAGTCAACAGATATCGTTTTCTTTTTGCATGCTGCAACCATCATCCAT